GAGATTGAAATGCTGAAGTTTCTTGTACTTTAAAGAGATCCCTGTGAGGGACAGGACTGAGAAAGTGTCCCCAGGTACCAGCTAGAGCAGAACACTGGAGGCAGTGATGGCAGCTGGAGACAAGCAAGGCAAAGGTGTCTCTGGTGCTGAGCAAAGCTGGATGTGTCTCAGGAATGCCAAGGGCCAAGGCCTGAGCCCCAGACCCTGGCCAGGCAGATCCTGTCCCTCCTTGCTCAGGGCTCTTGCCGGGATGGGCACTGGCATGTGGGGATGTGCAATGCCAAGGGCAGGAGCATGCGGCGGCCCCTGCCAGGCTGCTGAGCAGGGACAAGGAGGCAATGAGGCCCCGGCCCTGCAAGGGTCACTTGTCCCCTCATGGCCCCAGGCCCAGGCCCAGCAGCCATGGCCAAAGTGCTGCCCAAGTTGGCTCTGGCAGGGCTGTCTTGCAGCTGCTGCCCATGCCTGTGCCCTGTGCAGCCCAGGCTGTCCCACGGTGTCCCTGCCCTGCGCATCTGTCCCTGCAGGCTGTCGGCATCCCCCGGCTGCCCCACCTGGCTGGGCCCTTCCTTTGCTGCCAGCTCTGCCTCCTGCCTGCCCCTGCCTGCCCATACAAAGCCTTGGGCTGCTCCAGGCTCCTGCTGGGGACGTGCTGCACCACAGCCCTGCCCTGCCAGGGAAATTCCTTTCTCCTGGTGCCAGTCTGGGCCTCCCCAGTTGCACTTGGCATAAATTCTTTCTCTCTCTGGGTGTTTTCCACTATGTCAAAAGGATCCACCATCCCTGAAATCTTCCTTTAAACACTCTCATGGCTCTGCTCCACTGTCCTCAGTCTCCACCCCACTGAGCACAGAGCTCCTTTGTCCCTGTACAGTGCTCATGTGCTCAAGGCCTCCAAACCCTTCCTTGGGACATCTCTGGGCCCTCTCCAAGGTGTTTCCCAATGAAGACATTCAGGCCATAGTCTAAGAAAATCACCAGAGGACAGGGATAGCCCGACCTGTCTGTCCTGGTTACTTTTGTGTGGGAGCAATCCTTGGATATAGAGAATTTGGGAGGCCAAATTCTAATTTTGGCTATGGTCCCTGGACAAGAAGGCTGGTTCTTTTCCTTAGGAATGAAGGAACAGAGCCCCAGTGTTTCCAGGATAGATGAGAGGTGACCACCAGAGGCCAAGGCCAGCCAGGGCTGGCAGGTTTAGTTTTGTGAGATGCCCTTGCAAATAGGAATTTTTTTAGGGAGAGTACAAATTTTGGCAATGACCATCTGAAAAGTCAGACAGTTCCTTTCCATAGCAAGGGAAGCACGGAGCCCCAGTGCTCCAGGAACTGATGAGATGCAGCCCTTGACTTTCCAAGATCAGGCAGAGCTCTCAGGTGGCCCCTGGGAGGCCAAGGCAGCCAGAGCTGTTCCATGTTCCCTGGGTTCCATGGGGCCCCACAGTGTCCCAATGGTCCCTTGCTTCTATGAGGACCTGAGGTGTCACAATGCCCCCTTGGGGACATGAGGCCCTGAAGGGTCACAATGGTCTCCATGGTTCCATCAGGCCCCACAGAGCCATAATGGTCTCTGGGTCCATGAAGCCCCTCTGTGTCACCAAGGCCCCTTGGTTCCATGGGCTCCAGTGGGGCCACAATGATCCCCTTGGTTCCACGGGCTCCAGTGGGGCCACAATGATCCCCTTGGTTCCATGGGCTCCAGTGATGCCACAATGATCTCCTTGGTTCCATGGGCTCCAGTGGGGCCACAATGATCCCCTTGGTTCCATGAGGTCCCCACAGTGTCCCAGGGATCTCCATAGGAAGGAAAGAACCCAGCCCCAGTGTTGCAGGGGCAGCCACCAGAGGCCAAGGCCAGCTAGACTTGACAGTACTGGCAGATTTTGCCTGGGAGCAACCCTTGGATATTCAGAATTTCAGAGGTGGAATCCCAATTTCAGACATGGACACTGGAGGAGAAGGATGGTTCTTTTCTATAGGAAGGAAAGCACAGAACACCGGTTTTTGAGGGGCAGATGAATGGGGGCCATCAGAGGCCTAGGCCAGCCAGACCTCTCTTTCCTGGTAACTTTGGTCTGAAAGCAACCCTTGGATTTGGGAATCTGGGAGGTGGAACCCCATTTTTGGCCATTTCTGCATGGATAAGAAGAACAGTTCTTTTCCATAGGAAGGAAAGCACCCAGCCCCAGTGTTTGGACAGCAGGGGAGAGGCACCCCCAGGAGCCCAAGGGCAGCCAGACCTGTCTGTCCTGGCAGCTTTCACCTCAGAGCAATCCTTGGATGTACTGAGCTTTGGAGGTGGAATCCCAATTTTGGCCATGGTCAAGATGGGTGGTTTTTTCCCATAGGAAAGTAAAGCACAAAGTACAAGTGTTTTGGAAGCAGATGAGAGTTGGCCACCCTCAGGTGAAGCCAGCCAGACCTGTCTCTCCTGGCACCTTTCCTTGGACATTGGGCATTTTGGAGGTGGAATCTCAGTTTTGGCTGTGGGTGCCTGGACAGGAAGAAGAGTTCTTTTCATTAGGAAGGAAAGCACAGAGCCCCAGTGTTTCAAAAGCAGATGAGGGCCAGCCCTCAGCAAGCCAAGGCCAGCCAGACTTGTCAGTCCTGGCAGTTTTCATCTGGGAGCTATCCTTGGATATAGCGAATTCCAGAGGCAATTGTCCAATTTTGGCCATGAGTGCCTGGTTGAGATGGATTTTTTTTCCCATAAGAAAGACAAGTACATGGTCCCAGGGTTTCAAAGGCAGATGAGAGGTGGCCCCAGGTAGCCCAGGCAGCCAGATCTGTCTCTCCTGGCAGATTTAATCTGGGAACAATCTTTGCCTGTAAGGGAATTTGGAGAAGGAATCCCAGTTTTGGCCATAGGGCCCTGGAGGAGGATCAGGACAGTTCTCTCCCATAGGAAGGAGAGCCCAGAGCCCCAGTGCTTCAGGGGCAGGTGAGAATAAGCCCTTGACATGCCAAGGTCAGCCAGAACTGTCCGGCAGCCCCGGGAGGCCAAACTCACCACACCTGCTCCCTGTTCCCTTGGTTCCATGGAGCCCCACAGTGTCCCAATGGTCTCCTTGATTCCAGGAGTCCCTGCAGTGTCACAGTGTTCTCTTTTCTTCTGCAGTGTCACAATGGCCTCTTGGCTTCCCTGAGCCCTTCAATGTCCCCATGGCCCCTCAGGTCCCTGTGGCCCCGCTGTGTCACAACGGCTCCTTGGTTCCATGGGCCCCACAGCTTCATCCTTGGCCCTTGGTTCCATAGGGGGCCTGAGTTTCACAATGGTCCCCCTGATTCCGTGAGGCACCAGAGTGTCACAATGGTCTCTTTGCTCCCATGAGGTTCCATAGTGCCACCATGGTATCCTTGGATCTGCATTGTCACAATGGCTCCTTAGTTCCATGAGTTTCTGGACTGTCAGCAATGGTTTCTTTGCTCCAGAGGGGCCCTGATGTGTCACAAGGGCTCCGTGGTTGGGGTTTGTGTCTCACCCACACTGGAACCCCAGCAGTTGGTAGCCATGTGCATTTCTTTCTATGGAGCTTCTGTCCTTCTGTCTCTCTATCTCCTTCTAATGCTCTTGATATGGAACATTTTTTGATACCTCAACAACTTAAGTGATTAAACATTTCCAGATGTAATGGGCTGAGTTAACGGAGTTACTGCTATTGTATTTTATGTTGAATTGCATGTTTTATTAAATCTTTTTCCAAAATTTCTAGATTTTCTGTACTTTGTCAGTAAAATTTTCTGTCATTTTGACCTCTTGAGAATATATGGTTGGTGTTTCTCCTGCACACCAAACTCCAGTAAAGGAACCCTTGGTTATTGTGAGAAATGACTGCTGACTTTCAACATTTTAAAAGATTTATTCAACCTTAACAAAAATGACAAAAAAAAGGACTAAGTAAGGAAGAACAGGCCTGGGAGCTTCCCTCGTGGCTGCCTACCACGTGCCTGGCTTGTCCTCAGGCCGGACGCTTCGCCTTTTATACCCCAGTGAATTACATCAGCTAACCCTGCCCCCTCCCACAGTCTGTCAGTCAACTCTTCTTTGCTGTTTATTGGTGGAGTCTGCTTTCTTGCAGCTTGATTGGAGGGTCAGGTCATGTCATGCCACGCCCCCTCCCCAAGGAACAAGCTTTTGTACTCACCTTCTTTCCACCTGTCCTGGATGGCTCAGGCTGGCTGATGGTAACAACAGGGGGGAAAGGGGACTGTGGGGAGAAGAGAGGACATCTAAACAACAGACTGCAATAACGTAATCACACATCAATAAAGCTTCTCTTAATATTCACACAGCATTCATCCCTTAATTGTGAGAGCCAATCATCTCATTAGCCATCTATAACAGAAATGGACCCAAAATCACCGTTAAAAGGCTTGGTTCAACCTAAAATTACCCAAAGAGGCCTAAAATGCACCCATATGAGCCTAAAGTTATCCAAAGAGATCAAAAATCCACCCTTAAACCGCCCATTTTTTCTAAAATCACCCTTAAACTGCCCAGCTTAAGGCCAAAATGGGCAAAATGGGCCTAAACCCCACCAGATTTGCCTAAAATCATCAAAAGGCATCTAAAATCCACTCTAAACTGCCCAGTTTATCCTAAAATCAGCCAAACAGGCCCAAACCTCACTCAAATGGGCCTAAAATCATCCAAAGGGATCCAAAATCCACCCTCAAACCCACCACATTTGGACTAAAATCAGCCAAAGGGGCCTAAAATCCACCTCAAAAGGCTTGAAATCCCTGCAAGGGATCTGAAACGCACCCGAAACCTGCCCAGTTTGATCTAAAATCACCCAAATGGACCTAAATTCTCCAGGACCAAGACCAAACCCAGCAGCAGAACCAGCACCAGCAGCAAGACTGAGACCAACACTGGAACTGAGATTGGCAGTGCTACAGGACCGGCCGCGGGACTAGGACTGAGACCCAGACCAGAACCAGCACCAGAACTGGCACTGGGACCAAGACTGGGACCAAGCCTGACACTGGGACCGGCACTAGGAGCACTTTGGAACTAGGACTGGCACTGGCAGCGCTCCGGACTGGGATCAGGACCGAGACTGGAACCCGGCACCTGCACTGGGACTGCTCTGGGACCGGGACGAGGACCGAGACGGGGAGCCCTCCAGGACTGAGACCGAGACTGTCGCCAGAACCAGCACCGAGACTGGCAGCGCTCTGGGGCCGGGACTGAGACTGAGATTGGCACTGGGAGCACTCTGGGACCAAGACCGGCACCAGTAGCAGCACTGGGTTCAGAACCGCTCTGAGACTGAGACTGAGACTGGGACCGGCGCCACTCTGCGATTGAGATTGACAGAAGAACCAGAATCAGCACTGGGAGTGCTCTGGGACTGAGACAGAGACCGAGACTGGGACCAGGATCAGTGCTAGGATCACTCTGAGACTGGCACCAGGATCGGAAATAGGATTGGAAATGGGATTGGAAATGGGATTTGTCAGATTTCGGGGCTGTTTAGATGGTCTGGAAAAGCCCGAAGATGGCCTTGGGCCGCCCGCGCTCCAAAGGACGAGAAGGGACTTCAGATATTTTCTCGGTCTCGGTGTTTATTAAATGCTTATCTAAAAGATTTTCTCTTGGCCTGACAGAGTTCTGCTCAGCAGTCAGCCGTGGGCACACACTGAGAGCCCCTGGGGCGGTCACCTATCTTTATACTTGGAGTTACGTATACAATATTTATCATTTTTCTCCAATACCCTCTACCCTTATTAACCAGTGCACTTTAGTAAGGTCCAATCCCAAAGTGCCAACATCACCACAGAAGATGGAGGCCTAGAGGAAGAAGAAGAAGGAGAAGGGCACGCCCCAATTCCTCCATCTTACCTCTCTAGACCCCCCTGTACAGAAATCTTAAACCCTGTATCTCACACTCCAATTAACTTGTCCCTTCACCATTCACCCTGGTGAAATCCTCCTATCCTCATACTGATGTCATCTCCCCTGTGGGATCAAAGTCCAGCCACCAGACATTTCTGGCAACATTCCAGGACTCCCGAGCCCCCCAGGGGTGGTCTTGTTCACTCTGCCCCTCAGCCCTGAGAGGCTGAGATCCCACAGGATTGGCACTGGGGACCCTCCTGGATCTCTGCATTCGTTCCAGGGAGATTTGGCTGTGCCCCCGGGCAGGATGGGGAGGGACCCCTGGGCAGGGTGGGACCCCCTCGGTTCACATTGATCCGGTGCAGCCATCCCGGTCCATATGGTCCAGTTTGTATGATCCCAGTCTCTGCTCCTAATCCCTATGGTCCCAGCCTGTGAAATCCTGGTCCACATGATCCCAGTCTGTATGGTCCTGCACAGTACAAACTCCAAGGACCTGGAATTCCAGTTCTCAGCCAGGAAAAGATGTTTCTGCCTTTGAAGGCAATGGTCTTAAGAAGGGGCCAAAAGCTAAGTGGAGCAAGATCCTACAGTGACATTTCACTGCCAGCCTTCAGAACTTCACCCATGGCTGTTGTAGCTCATGCACTGGGAATTAAATCTGGGCAGGGTCTTTGGTGGCAGCTGCCCTGGCTCAAGGGAGGCACTGAGAGAGAAACAGAGCAGGCAAAGAGAGGCAGGAGAGAAAGGAGGATACAAACACAATCAGCTGAGAAGGTGGCACTCTGCAAACAGAACTGCAACGGACTGAAAATGAATGGGACAGAAATCACTAACTCTGAAAGCTTTATTTACTATCAAATATATCCCACACACCCAACCCCACACAATCCCCATCCCACTGCTCCAAATTGGGATCCCACTTCTCCCAGTCTCCTCCCAACCCCATCTCACTCTGGTGGCTGTGGAATCAAGTGAGTTTGGCACAGGATTGAGTTTTTTAGGGTGTGAACAAGGCATTTTGAAGTGGGATTGAGCCTGTATGAATTAAAATTCAGTTGTTTGGCATGGGATTCAATTGTTTTGAGGTGACCCTCTTGACTTTTGGAGTGCAAAGAGATGGAGAACACTGCGCAAAATCCCCCCCAGACCACACAAACCCCCCAGAATATTGTCCCCAAACCATCAATTCCTCTTTAAAAACCTCTGAAACTCTGGAATTTTAGACATTGAGACAGAGTAAAGATCCATTCTGAATTAGGTGAAGTGTCTGGAAGAGGTGAGGGGTCTGTGAGGCCAAAGCTGAAAGAAAAGCCACATTCCAGAGACAACAAAGAGACAGAGAAAGAAAAACAGAAATGACCACAAGGTCAATCTGCCCCAGACATAGAAATTCCTTTGATAAAGAAGAACTGGTACTAAACGTCACGCAGAATGAATATGTATGAACTTATTGTGAAACTGTATGCATATGCATTTAGAAGGAAGATAAAAGAAGACCCGAGGTCTTCAGAGGTACGCATGCCTTTTTGGGGGACTTGCGTCCGGCGCGCGTCGTAATAAAAGCATACCGAGCTTTACAACTTTTACAAAGTTGTGAGATTTCTTCTTTTCTCAGCAAAACAACATCTTTGATCAATTTATTTCATTTAACCCTGTTTTGGCTGTTTTTAATGGATGTAGATGAACCAGAAGAAAATTAAGGTCAAACCAAAAGGAGAAGCAGCCAGGTGTGTTTCCAACATGGATCATAGGGAATGTGAGTGACCAGGGCTGTGCCCCAAGTGCCTTCTCCAGTGGGGGATGGAGCTGGAGCAGCGCACGAAGCTCTTCCTGCACTCGGGGCACTCTCAGAGCTTCCCTTACTGGTGCCTCTGTTGGTGTCGGGTCAAGGTAGAGTTCCTGGAGAAGCTCTTCCCACACTGGGGACACTCGTAGGGCCTCTCCCCAGTGTGAATGCGCCTGTGGGTGATGAGGGTGCAGCTGTGCTTGAATCCCTTCCCACAGTCGGGGCATTGGAAGGGTCTCTCTTCTGTGTGAATCCGAAAGTGCTGGAGGAGACAGGAGCTGGTGAGAAACCTCTTCCTGCATTTATCACACTCGTAGGGCCTCTCCCCAGTGGCTGATGAGGGTGGAGTTGTGCTGGAATCCCTTCCCACAGTCGGGGCACTGGAAGGGTCTCTCCTCTCTGTGAACCTGATGGTGCTGGAGGAGATGGGACCTGATCCGAAGCCCTTTCCCACACTTGGAACACTCATAGGGCCTCTCCCCAGTGTGGATCTTTTGGTGCATGATCAGGCTGGAACGCTGCCTGAAGCTCTTCCCACACTCCCGACACTCGTGGGGCCTCTCCCCAGTGTGGATGTGCTGGTGGTTGATCAGGTTGGCGTTCCTCCTGAAGCTCTTCCCACATTCCTCGCACTTGTGGGGCCTCTGCCCAGTGTGGATGTGTTGGTGCATGACAAGATGGGCATTCTGCCTGAAGCCCTGCCTGCAGTCGGGGCAGCAGAAGGGCCTCTCATCGGTGTGCGTGCACTGGTGCTGGAGGAGATTTGACCTGGTCTGAAACTGCTTCCTGCATTGATCACACTTGTAGAGCCATTCCCCAGTGTGGGTCCTCTGGTGCACAATCAGGTTGCAGTTCCTCCTGAAGCTCTTCCCACACTCCACGCACATGTGGGGCTTCTCCCCATCATGGAGCTGCTCATGGAGCACCAGCTCCGAGCTCTGGCTCCATCTCCGGCCGCCTTCCCGGCTCAGGCTGGCTCTTTCCCCCTCAGATCCCCGCCAGCTGCATTTGCAGCCCCTCCTCATGCAGCATCTCCGGGCCTTTTCCTCCCCATTGCCTTCCTGCTCCGTGGAGCCGCTCAAAACAACCTCTTCCACCAGGTTCTGCTGTGGGCATTTGTCCTCCCTGCTCTCCATGCTCAGCTCCTGCTCTGGGGAAGGAAGGACAAGGACAGGATGGGATTGGCCTCTGTGCCATAGGCAAGAGCAAGGAGATCCCCCCAGGGCTGTGCTGCAGCCAGAGCCGTGCTGGGCTGGGAGAGGGAGCAGCACAGAGGGGAATGGGGCACTCATCGCCAGCTCGGGGCTGTGCACAAACAACAAACAGGACAGGACTGCTAGGAATGCGTCTTGAGCTGGTTTATTTTCCAGAATCAGTCTCATTACTCATGACAATGGGAAGATGCCAGCAGCTCATCCCAGATAGCAGAGAACTTAATGATAAAACTTACTTTAAAAGGTTTTTGACCAATCACACAAAGCAAAATCATATTGACAGTAGTTCCATTGAAGCAAATGTACCTTTGGTTAAAACAATGCTTGCTTATTTCAGATACAATACCTACTTGTAAGCCTTAAAACACAATGCACAGAGCTCCATTATTAACGTTGTAACTTCCTAATGTCTTGCTAAATGTACTTTTCTACAGGTTAGAGAGTTAGTCTAGGTAAGTATTAAGGCACAGATCATTGTTCTATTTCTCCTTACTTTCTACTTAGATAATTTTTCTGATAAATCTTATGGCTGCTGCAAAGCTCTAATCACAGTTCTACTCTCTCTGAGGCTTGTCTTTTGCAGCTTTCCCAAAACCCTCTGATTTTAAGGATTCCAGAGACACTGAATTCCTCCTCACCTGCCTGCGTATCCCAGGGCATTGTCCTCTTCCTCACAGCCTCTCAGGGGTTGGCAATGGGAAATCCTGGTTTGGGGAAAACAAGGGATGAGCACATTGAGTTTGAAGGTTCCTTTACCCAAGTCCATCTCTACAAGTCATCAGTCATCTGGGCTCCATAAAAACCTCCCAAACACCAAAAGATTCAGCCCTGAAAAAGCCTCCCATGAGTTTCCCGTGCCTGGTCCCTCCCCTCTGGTGTTCGGGGGCTCCCCCTGTCCCAGCTGCTGGGGTCACACTTGGATTGGGGGTCTCCCTTCACCTCGGTGCCTGCCCTGCCCAGGCTGCTGGCAGTCCCAGCAATCCCAAAAGCTCCCCCCTCTTGGCTCTCCCCATTTCGGGATGCCGGGGCTGTTTGGGCTCCCGGGCTCCCTTTTCCCCTCATTCTCTGCTCTGGGCTGCAGCGGCTCCAAGGAGTCCCCCATGCCCCTCTCCAGGCTCTTGAGGCTCCCGCCAATGGCGGCGCTCCCCCCTCTCTGGGCTCCCCACTTTGGGCTCCTGGGGGACACAGGGCTCTGCTCCTCCAGGCTGCCTCTGCCGGCAGCCGCCACCGGCACCCCCCGAAGTCCCCCCAAGGGGCCTTTTCCGCTCAGCCTTGGACTGCTTCATTCTCCAAACATGCCCCCAAAAACCCAACTGGGAGATACTGGGAGTGACTGGGAACATGCTGAGCGTGACTGGGATCATACTGGCACGGAGTGCCACTACACTGAGGCTGACTG